CTTTCAGCTGTTTACCCTTACGATGATCGTCTTTCAAGGCATTCAAGTATGGGCGTTATGATTGCTGGTACCTCCTATTACAGTAACTAAAGGAATGATCTTCGCCCACAAAACATGCCCCCACCGTACTGACTTCTATCATCCGTTGTGTACTCCTGCGTTCGCATGTGTAATCACCATACAGATCGTCTGATCAAAGCCTTCCCCATCTTGGAGGCTTGTAAGCACCGAACCCTAAACCCTTAAAAAGAGCACGGATGGTTGGAACTGCAGCTTCGTAAGCCACTAGGAGGATGCCACTTGGTTAACCCATACGTCTGTAATTGTACCCCTACCTGCAATCACTTATAAAGCTCCAAGCACCCAGAAAAGACCTTCCGTGCACCCCCATTTTGCGCATAGTAGAATACACGATCGAATCTCTGGACAGGTGTACCCAGAACGTTTCCTCCAGATTCACCAGGCATTCCCACAAAAACAAGGCGGGATCAAAATGAGCGTCTCCCGCCGCTTACTTAACTTACTTATGTGCTGAGTGTCGCAGTAGCAAGTTTGCAGCCCTGAAAACGAAACAAGTTTTTGGTTGAACCTGAATCTGAAATATCTGCCACGGCACTTTGGTGCCGTGAGCCTTGGGAACGTTGTTGACCAGCTCTTCCATGGGTGCCATGGCAGGCGTCGAATCCACGAGGCCCCCAAAGGCGCCAAGTTGAGGGTAAGGTCTACCAGAAGGAACCAACTACCCTGCATAATGACGGGCTGCGTACTAGTTATTCTAGACCTAAGACAACCTTTAAGGTACTTTGTGTTACACGGAAGAATGACCAATTTGCACAAACGCCTGGCCCTAGCAGTGATTTAAAGCGCAGCTCGGGGTCAGTGACTTCAAGACTCTGCGCAGCGCGAAATAGTTTATGGTAACCATTCAGAGGTGCTTGGGTAGTATGGCGAAGGTATGCGTGAGTTGAAAAGAGTCTTTGTCATGGAGGCTTCTCCATGATGCGAAAAATGACCGAGGTCTGGAACAATGATATTTCTATCCGGCAGAAACATTCTCAAGCCCGCCAATGGAAGGCAACGCTGCAAGAATAGCTAAACTCGCAACTTATAATCCAACTTGTCAGCAAAAAACCCTCTTGATGCCTATAGCATAGCCCCGCAGCCTAGCAGTTCAAGATGCTGCCGGCCACTTGGAACGTAGGCCTCAAAGAGGCCTTGCCGTTGAAGTTATCATAAACCCTACGCGCTTTAATCTTGCCTTCCTTTTGCACGAATTAAAAAAGTATCTTCAGAAGAAGAAGTAGCAGCGGCGGCAGCAGCAGCGGTAGGATTGCCGGTAGGAGCTGAAGCTGGAGCAGGAGGAGGAGCAGGAGTAGCAGTGGTCAGGGACCTCAACAGGCTGCCAACCACCAGGGCCGGAGCACTGCAAATGTCTGCCGATCCTGACTACAGCCTTGTTTATGCAATGACTTCATCAGCTGACAATTAGCTTCCTGTGATTGCAACCTCTATGCCGGTGGTAATCTCGCTTAGTTTCCTGTGGCGGAGGGGCCTCGCTGATTCGCAAGATGCTGGCGCGCGGCTTGAGAGGAAAATCTGCAGCTTGTTGCAGGGGACCAGGGATTTGGGGCTGGCACTCTCCAGACATGGAACCTGAACGTTGCATACACTTGTATGAATGAATGGGCTTTGGGGGGAGGGGTGGCCCTTCAAAAGCCAACTCGTCGGAGAGGATGCATCTACGACAACAGCCATGGTTTGAAGAATTGTGTAAAGTAGGGAACAGCAAAATTGGTGAGAGAATTCCGGCAGGTCCCATACCGGATGACGCGTTTTCGCAAAGCCTGTGGAGTTATGCGATCGGCTCCATGAGGTGGGGTTCCTCCAAAGAGGACACCCTTGCAACCTCTGAAGACCTGGGGATAGTACAGGGCAATATTGGGGTCCCCATGTAGGATTTCAAAGCGGTTCCCTGAGAAACTCCCATATTGATTCACTTGGCAACTGAGGTCGTGTTGGGACACTTCGGCCTCACAGGGCATCTGGCAACCAATCTAGCACCTGGGGCCCCAAAACATCTAGACCCAAAATCTAGTGCAGGCTCCAAATAATATGCTGCAAATAACGTAATTCTCTCGGTGAAGAATACCCCGACACTAATTCAGATGAGATAGGGACTGAAGCAGACAAAAACCTCAGCATGCAATACATGCCAACATTTGTTGCAGCACAAGCCCATCGCCCTAAAACCTGTTCAAGCTGTGGTTGGAGACCCTCCCCTGTTGAGCAGCAGACCCTGTTTCCAGCTCGCAGCTGTGGTGATGTTGGCTACTACCAAATCCCTTGGAGTATGGGAATGCCTCCTTCATCACGCATAGTATACTCGGAAAGCTCCCTTTACTACAGGACCTATGGCTCTCTGCGTTGCCCCTTAATGAAGCAGGCCTCGGAGAGAAATGCTTATAGCACCGTGGCGACGGAGATGTTTACCGTGTTCGGAGGAGGGTTTTCACTGGCAAGAATGTAGAAGCGAACCTTAACTTGAAAGGACGCAAACCAAGCAGAAGGGCGTTGTGATTCACAGCCCAGCAATTGACCGTTGGAGCAATCTGGTAGTGAGCAAGGCTCCTAGAACCTCAGACTGCGCCACCGCAAGGTTTGGTCTGGGCTGTTGAACTTCGCAAACTCTAAGCCCAGCAATTTGAACATAGGAATCCTACACTCAGTCTAATACAGAACAGGCACTTAGAGCCACATTCCACTAGTCCAAACTATTGCAACTGCAGGCGGCAAGTGCGAGGCCTCTCTACTCCAAGGTTCATCGGTGGTTCTGCAAAGCTCCATGAGCCTCGAAGTAGGCCTCTTTGATTTTCCAACTTTGAACCTACCGACCTGGAGATCCCCAATGTCAACTGCCCTAAGACCAAAACTCCTCACGAGCTGCACCCTACATCCGTGACCTTGAACTCCCATGACTCAAAAGCACTCCACAGCGCAGAACCTAATCATGATGCTAAAGCTATCCTACACCCTACATAGCCCGTCAGGCAACGCTGTCCTGGCACATTGGCCCCATCCGGACTTTGGACAATGCACTTCTGGCGCAGAGCAGGGGCGTCAGCGTGATGCTTTAAATTGAAGCTCATCAAACTTAGTTCAAACTTAGGGTGCTGTTACGTACACCTGAAATCTGAAGATCCATCCTCTGGAAGTCCGAGGGCCTTATGGATTCGACAACCCCCAGTATGGGGATCATTTCATCTGGGCACACAAGCTCGGAGTTGCATCCATACCCCTACCAGAAAATGTGGAGGAAATCGCTTGAAGGTATACGGGCCTTATCTGAGTTCTTCCAGGCATCGGAATGAAACCTGCTGAGTTGTACTAGCTGCGTTCACGGCAGAATGGAGCATAAGAATCTTCTTAGAAACCCCCGCATCCAATCCCTAGGCCCTGGACGCTACGTTCCTCGTAGAATCACTACAGAATATTCCAATAGCCGAATATTGCTTCATAATGAACTCTTTACTGAGTATCCCTCATATAAAGCATCCGTGTCTCTCTTTGCACAACCAGCTGGAACTAGTCAGCCTGGTTGCAGACCTTGGAGAGGGGCTACATGACCCAAACTTTTAATGGATGAGATTTGGGGCTGATGGTGAGGTCCTTCGGGTCCGGAGTCCTGACCAGTGCGTTCAAGGCTTGTGGGGTGCAGAGCTCAAGGCCTACAAGGCTGAGGCTAAACAAATTGAGCTTTCAAGTCTAAGGTTTCGGTTCAGTTCTTGACACTCATGGGCTGTCATCATCTGAGGATCACTACCATGGTGCCACATGGGTGGAGACGAGGGTGCCGTGCCCGTGTTGGTAATGAGCTCAGGGATAGAGGATCCCCAGAAAAATGACATGTTAGATGCACAGAAGAGATTTCCAGTACGGAGCTAGAAGACGGGTGACCATGCTCTGTGTACTGGCAACGTGGGCCACTTCAGATCTGCGAGAAAGAGAAAAGCTGAGACCTCTGCTCCAGGAACTCAAGTGAAGGCACCGAGATTCTAGACTACATTCCATGCACCTCCGGGCTCATGCTGATAGCAGACTATGGGGTGTGTAGTATCCCCCCTGTACTTGGAGACCCCGCAACAATGTGTCGCTCACAGGTAGGTCCCTTTGATTTTTCAGAGAGACCCTTCACCTAGGACCCTGACACCACTCCCAGCTCAAGCCTCTTAATGACTATTTGCCGGGGACCGTGACAAGATAGGGCCTTTCAGAAACTATTCAACTATTCAGACTATTCACTATTCAATACCCACTAATCAAATTGGGGAGGCCAATCAAGTTGAGTTTTCTGCCCTAAGCAAAAAAAGTGGGGAAGATGGCGAGGCCAGAAAGCTATTGGTGTTAAAGCCCAGGCCTTCAAACATCAAGGCCAGGCTCTACATTACGTCCTTCCAAATCCTGAGGCTTGCGAACCGCCAGAAACCATCGATTTCTTGTTGAACCGCTTTCTCCATCAAGCTAACCAATCATGTTCCAAGCGGGTGGAGGCCAGCAGGCCGCCTGAATCTGAATAGAATACAAAGATTTGGGAGGGCTCAATAATGTCAAGGTTTTTTGTGCTCCACGGTGAAACCAATAACATACTAACTTAAAGATCCAGGACTTCGCATGTAAAAGTCAGGCACGATTAACCTGGAAAATCCGGCATCTGATGCCAGAAGCCATCTATTTAGTGTGATCAGGCCTTAGCCCTTCCTATTCCCTATGAAACTAAACTTATACATTTTCGTGAATGGGTTTCATAGGAGCCGAAGGAACGAAAGGATTAATCAGACCACAGCTTGTTCTGGGAGAACCCTGTTTTGCTTGGAGGGTCTATACACGAATGAGGATCCCACCTTACAGGAGAGCCGTAGCGCAGGATCGGAACCCCACAAATCTTCCCCGTAGACTTCTAGCGCATAGCCCTGAGGCCAAACAGAAGCAGCCGGGCTTGCCACCAGCTTTAGCACACGGGGCGTGCGAAAGATGCGGAAGCCCTTGGAGGTCGGGAGGAGCGGATATACATCCTGCCAGAAGCAGGAAGGTTGTTGTGCTGGTGGCGATAGTATGCGTCGCAGAAGGACGAGGACGACAATAACAGCAACAGCAATAGCACAACAAACAAGCAGCAGGCGGAGTGGGACAGTCGGACAGTAGCGAGTAAAGGAGGAGGAGCAGCAGCAGCAGCAGAATCATGCAACGTAGACGTGGTCCGGAAGGTCATACTCGCAGTGACATGATGCCTGGGCTTGTCCAAAGGCTGCCATCAATACACGGCCCCATGGCAGATGATTTTCTTGTGAAAATCCCGTCCTCAAAGAAGTAATATGTGTGGCCCACAGCGATGCCCATTAGGTGGTCCTGCGGCTTACGACTTCTCCGTGGGGAGCTTGAAGGATACGGCGTTGGCTCAGGGCTTGGCCGAAAGTTTCCATGTGCCAGTCTTGCATGCCTAACGTAGTGACCCGTAAGGGGACCCACTTCTGACGTTTCAGGTTTAAACTTGAGGCTTGCGCTGTGTGAGACTTGCTACTTCGATGATTATGTTCTCTTGAAGGGAATGAGTGGGGGCGCAGCAGGGCTAAACTAGTACAGCACGTACCCTGCGGCCAAGTCTTGCGGCTCGAATGTCATTGTTCCGGGGATATAGGGCCTGGTACGTGACATCTCAAACACAGAGTTCTTCAGTCTGCTTTCAAGAAGCCTGGCCCCCTGACCAGCCACAGCCCTTGAACCCACTACTGCGCAATTGCTGAGGAACTTTTAACATCTCAAGCCAGGATTCAGGGGTGCAAAGGGCGTGCGCTGAGGCCTAGGGATTTGGAAACAAGACCTTCGCGCTTAATCAGGGATTCCCAACTTTCGCTCATGCTTGGACAGAGGGTTCCTCATATTTGGGATTTTCTTCACGCGAATGGATGCTGGAAAAAAAACACTATACCTTTCTGCCCCGGGCCTGGACGCTCCCACCCATAAGAAGCGAGATCCAAGCCAGAACCTTGGATTCGTCGAACGCTTGCTATCTAGGGTTCAGGGTTTAGGCCCTGCACCGCGGAGTACTTGGGGATTTAGACGTAAACTAAGTGGTAGTCAAAATGCTGGGTCATCTTGGAATTCTGCAAGACTTGGATAGAGACTCCTGCATTACGCCAGCAGGGTCGTCATCTGTTCCGCTGCGCCGGCTGGAGCCTCTGTGTTTGTTTTTTTGTTTGCAGCGCGCAGTCTCCTAGTTGGAGAGTTCCTCTAAATTGGTAGCCCTGCAGGACTGCCCACCACATACCAGGCTGGCATGCCCGATATTTCCTGTTTCTCTCTTCGCGCTTGACCTCAGCTTGTGTGTCACAGGCACATTGGACACAGACAGCTTCAAAGGAAACGAATGGGCGAACATGCATACATACATACATACATAATGCATACATACATACATACATACATACATACATACATACATACATAAGCACATGTGTTCCCAACAATGAGGATCCTAAAAACTCGAATAATCAGGGATCTAGGGTGCCCCAATGTAAAGAAAACCCATAACCCTGCTGTGAGAAGCTCCCATAGGAGCTATAGTCTAAACTCCTAGTATTCCCCTTAATAACTCCTTTCATACTCCCAAATATAGCCCCCTCTAAGGAGGTTCGACTAATAACAGCTCACGGGATGCTGCTGCTTGTTTCCTGAACAGGAGCTTTCTTGACACGTCAAGGCCGCTTGCTCGGCGGCTGCCTCTAAGACACCATCCACGCATAGTCTGCGATTCAGGGTTTTTTTAGTAAGTAGGGTAGGAAGTCTCCAGCAATCACTATAGATTACTTTCAAAGTTGCCCTTACATAACTAGCCCGCAATGCCTGAATCCTTCTAATGGGCCATAACTCTTGAAAACCCTCATGCGCTTCATTGCGCTTCATGGTCTGTCTGCTTCAGGATGGCTGTAACTATAGGACTTGCAAACTGAGGTCCGCGCCCAGGGCAAGTACGGGGCACGGAAGTTGAAGAATAACACCTCCCGCATCACTTGAATGTCAGTATTCGGCTTTAATAAGGCAAGTTTAGGGTTTGAGCGTAGAATCTTGAGTCTCTCAACGGGCATGACGAAGGGAAATGACATCTCGAGATGGATGCATTGCTTGCCAACTTCAGCCAGAGACAATCTCAACTTACTTCGGTATGCAAGGATTTCCGCGAAGCCGCACTCCCCAAAGTCAAGAAGTACACGACAACATTCCTCGTACCTAATACCTTCTATTGGCTGAAAGTAAGGCCATAATCCTCAGCTCCCTAAACCTGAAACCGATTTTGCTATGATTAAGAACGGTGAGGCCCAACCACAGTATGTGCCTTGTACTCCTTTCCATATATCTGAGGAAAAACACCTGTGGCTTGTCTTCATACCGAATTGGTCTCATTGAGTTTTCTTCTTCTCCTTCTTAGATTCTGGTTGGTCATCGTATTGATTTCTTATCGTTTTCTGGGCTCCCGCCCACAAGTTCTTGAATGTTTGCAATGACAGTACATGCAGGCCTGCATGCGAGCAGCTGAGTTCCTCCTCCCCCAGATGTAGGTCATGAGGTCAATCATCGCCCCACTGACGAAGTACCTGGCGATCCAATGTTTGGGGGATCTAGCAACCACAAACGGGCGCACGGTGGGTTCTTAGAGCAAATGCCCCAAACACTTCAAGCGATAGACTCCACCAAACAGAACGTTCAGGGATCTCACTGACAGCAGAAGATCATAGGAAGTTCTTGAGGGTACCCCATACGGGCCACATGCTAAGGAGTAATCGAAGGCTGCGAAGCCTCTTCCATGTTTGTCACACAAGCCTTCGATAGGCTTCAAAAAGCGTCGATAAGCAAAAACTAGCTAAAAAGAGTAAAAACTAGCGTCAGCGAAGTCCCTGTCAGGCCTCAGTAGGCACTCAACCTTTCAAAGGTGACTTTATAAAGCTCATCAAAGCTCCCCGAAGAGAAAGCAGGCTTCAATAGCGCTATTGAGCGCCTGCAGTCCTTTATTGAGCCGAAACTTGCTGGTTTCGATTGTCCAGGTTGCCCTGAGTCAATTTTGGGCGCGCTTCCCGTGCTTCTTGAAGCAACCTGGGTTGCCTCGAAGAAGCGACCCAAAGATGCAAAAGAACGAATGTACATTGGGGTCCAATCACAGTGTACGTGGGCAATGGACGGCTTTGTTCTTAGAGGGTTGTGTCAGAGTGGGTCATTGCAGACTAACGAAGGCCATAGAAGGCCATCGAAGGGTATCGAAGTCTATCGAAGGCTATCCCAGGGCATCGAAAGCTATCGAGAAAGCTATTGAAGGTTACAGACCGTGGAACCTTCATATCTCTTTGCTTAGAATCTGAGCGTGTTCGTGCCAAGATTGTCTCTTCATTTGCAACCTGCTCGAACCCACTTTCTGGACAGCTCAGCAAGCTTCAATAATTTGTTTGCATCTGGGGCGGGCCCTATGGGGTACCCCCCATAGCATCCTATGAGAAGAGGAAATTCACGAATATGGCAGTGGCCTGCTGGCCTGCTTTAGGCAACGGGTCCACCAACTCCTTCCGCAATACTTGCCTCCACGCCACAAGGCCCTGCAAAGTACAAATGGCCGGCGCGACGCCCAGACCCTAAAACTCGCATCGCTTTCAATCCAATCATCAATCGCCAACCTTCTGATTGGACCTCTACTGAATAGGGTTTAGGGCAGCAGCATCCTGAAGAAAGCCGAAAGGTCCCCTTGCGCCCATGCTGCATAGCCCTTGCCGTGTGCATGAAGTGTTCCCTATAAAATGCCATGCATGTGCTGAGCAGCATATGTAATGTTCAGGGGTGGGTTTTTTGTCTCTGTTTTATGCTGGGGGCAAGTGCAAGATCACAAGCACTAGTTTCCACATATCAACACACTGTCACAAGCCGCGCGAAACCCTATACAACATCATGTTGGGCCTGAAAGCTCGTCATTTCTTAACTTATCTCCTAGTACATGCCAATCTTCAGATCCTTGATCCCTAAATCCTAAGCCTCTAGCCTGAAATTTGTTGAGCACTCAGAGCCCTCCCCTGGCAGGAAATCTCAGTGGCGCACGTGTTTCCGAAGAAGTATGTGAGGACCAGGAGCATGCCTCTACTTGAAGAGGCCGTATCATCTAGTCAAGTTCTCTTTCGTCGGGGTTCAGGATGACCAAGAAGCCTCTATCTTGGATATCTCCGATCGTACCTAGAGGTGGGACACAAGTCCCCTTCCCGAAAAAGGAAGTATGATGGGAACCATACTTTCACTGACATCTATGGAGTTTGAGCCTTTGAAGCCACGTCGCGTTGGAGAAGGGCTTTATTGCCTTGAAACGCCTTACACATGGAATGGATAATTGTCAAAAGGATGGACTTGTTGCGACAAAGCCTACCTAATGTCACATTGATGCGGCATCCTGCTCTTCGGGCCGCATCCTACTCTTCGGGGACCACAAAACTGTCCCTCATGTTTTCTATAAACCCTACACGCTCTGCTCAACAAACAGCACAACCTAAGCAACTTGAGCCCTAGCGCTTGAGGTTTCGGACTGATGTTTAAAGATTAGGATGCGGGGTTAAGGCTTCAAGGCTTGCATGCCACAAACTCGCAGATAAGCTACTATGTACAACAAACAGCTGAGCCTTTGCGGTGCCCGTTTACATTACAAACATGATGACTCTACAGTGATTTCAAAAGAGATCATAGTTTGTAGCAGCACTAAGATACCGTCACCTTCCCTAGCTCTTCGCCCACAGAAGTTCACCACAAAGCAGCCACTGCCCCAAAAAGAGCTCCTTGAAAGGACAAGCTTGGAATGTTAAGGATATAGTTAGGATTCAAGTTGGGTCACTCGAGCTACAATCTGAATGAAGGTCCTGACAGGCCCAGTCAGCACGCTAAACTTCAGCCTGAAGTCCGATATTCAGCCCCAAACCCTAAGCAACAAAAACCCTAGCCCCAAACCGCAAACCCTACACCGCACCCCTGGAAACGCCACACCCAGCCCTAAACCGCACACCCCACCCAAAACGACCGAAACCCTAAACTACTGAGCAGCCCCCAAACCATCCGCGTAGCAGAGCCTGCCCCACAAACAAGCATCCAGAGAAAATCTGCCGACTTCCTGTGGAAGGCAATTTCTTCCAGCGATGAGCAATAGAAGACCTGAGGATGTCGGAGCTTGCTCTCAGGGGAAATCCCACGGATTCAGGGGTTCTGGTTGACAGCTATGGGCTTTCAATTTCTGGATTTGGGGTTTAAAGGTATGGAGCTATGGTTTTCGGAAGCCCACAGCATCTTAGAAATTGAGCTTGTCTGTCTATGCCCACCTGGTCATGTTCTACATAATTCCAGCTTAGGTTACGTAATTAATGGACCACTGATGAAAAGCCCTTCGAACACCATGAAAAAATTGCCACCTACATTCCGCTTATGAAACCGCTAAATCCTGCACAAACCTCTGAAAATGGGGCTCGTGCTTGTACCCCAAAGTACTAGGTGCCCGCATCAGACATGAAAACGTCCGCGGAAAATATCTCTGCAAACGGATAGCTCGGCAATTCCAGGTTGTGTCACAGCAGGATTCCATGCATGCTAGCTTTGGTCCAACGAAGGCCATACCTTGCGATTTTGAAAACCTGCTGAGATCACAAGGGCATTGATCTGGGGGCCTAAATGGTTAGACTACCTGTTTGGTGCACATCAAGGGTGTAACAAATATGTAACGATTCTCAGAAAAATCCCGGTTGTTCAGGCTTCTACTACGATCTCTACCACCTTAGGAAGACGACTTGTGGGCCATCGGACTTTGGCCTCCCAAACAGAAGCCGTACTGGGAGGTGCATGGTAATTACAAGAGCTACAGTAGAACGGGCTCAACTTGTATGAGAATTCAGCTGACTACTGTTGAACGTCCAACTAACTAACTCTTAAACTCCTAAACCCTGAGCGGAGGATTGGATCACTAACTCTAGCCTTGAAAGCCGCAAGATCTGAAGCCGGAAGCAAGTTCATGCATGCCCGTGGTATTAAATAGCCTCACAGCGAATCTTTGACACTGGAGGAAGCAAGCTTGTCTGACATTGGCACAGGTCTTCAGGTCCCCGCTAGCACGTAGGTGTTCCAGCAGAACTGCAGGCTGAAATTCCCAAAGAAGAGGAAGCACGTGACCAGCCTCTCCGTCATGCGCTTGTAGAGCAACCCAGAGCTAAGTAACCCCTGGAGGCGGCCTGTAATTCCGAAGGAATTATGCTGGGGTCTACGTGCGAGGCCTAATCCTGCTGAATAGCCTTCTTTCGGCACTCGTGTGCTCAAAGAGGCTAGATTCATAATGTTGGGATTGGATTGAAGGGCGTATCAGGGCCATCATGCAAAATAACGACTGTCACAGCAGCATCAGGATTATGACAAGATTTGCTAGGACTATTATGGACAGAAGAAATCCTGCACCACCCTACATACCTCATACCCCGGGAATTACCATGCATTGGGGATCCTAAGTGGTGCAAGATTCCCGCCACCCACCGTATGACCCAGACAATCGTATCTTGGCATCGGCAGGTTGCGTGTCACTTACGGACATTGGGCCAAATCCTACATGATCTTATATCTCGACTCCAAACAAGTGGTGTAGTACACTTAGAATTTCATGCGCAGCAATTGCTGCTAGGACAAAGGGCAAACACTCCATGCCAAGTCGAAGCATCATATACAGAAGGCAAGGTCCAAAAGCAGGATTTGGGGTTTACAGGCCTACTGACTGTAGCCCTGCTTTCAGGACAGGAGCATGTTTTTGTGCTTCAGATTTTTTTTTCAAGAAAATCTGGCTCCTTTTGCACGAAGGCTTCGACTCACGTGACCTTGTGGTTTCAGCACAAAAGTTGGGCCTTAGCCTCCTGCTTAAGCTCACAAACACTCAGCTCTTGCAGATGGATTGACTGGGTCACGGCGATGGCCCGGGTCTGAGAAGAGCCTTTCACAAACTGAGAACTTCCCTTTTACTACCCTTCAAATCTCCCCAACAACACTAACTGGCAGAGAAAATGTCATCCTTTCGACTGATACTGTGACATGATCCCTAAACCCTACTTTAACCAGTAACTCTGAAGCCAACCTCCACAGCTGCATCTCGTAGATGATGAGCTGCCAGTTAAGATACCTTGTCTGAAGCATGTGCACTCCACACTACAAGGTGCTGGAGCAGAAAGCATGCCCGAAACAGGCGAACAACTTTCAGAATACCACATGCGATGGGCTGCAAGCAGGACTGAAGCCTTCCAAAAGGCCTTAACTAGCTAACCCGAAGAGGCACCGAACCCCGACCACTCAGCTGGACACTTCAGCGCCAACATCCAGTCTCCAGCCCCCTTCTCCCTCAAGACTGCACGCAAGCAGGGAACACAACACCATCCAAACACATTACAGCTGTGAGTTTCGCTCGGATGTAGATGAGGTCCCAAAAACTATTCATTGATACTGTGTGCAAGAAAAGTTCCAGAGGCTCTGCAACCTGTTGGCGGATAGTCACCGAAGAAAAGAAGAAGTTGGAGAGCAAGCTACTGAGGAATTCGAGTGCCAGTAAAGAGAACATGGAGGCAGCAACAGGCGCTCGCAAAACAATCATCAAAACACAACCGTTTAAACGTAACATACCAACTCGTAGGCCGGCCAGCAGACAGATTACAAGGCTTCCGTGGCGGTGATTCGACTTGCACGGCACTACCCACACAGTCATGACCACCACATGAGTATGCCTTCTAGCCGTATACAGATGAAAGAGGCTTTGATACCTTCATTTCGAACAATATCAACGTGGTTCCTGTAGACCTACTAAAGCTACTGCAGGGGTTCTTTCCTTATCTACTCTTGGAGTATGTCTAATGACAGACCATATCTGCATCCCTGCCGTAAGGGGCCTCCTTCAAGAGGCCCCTAAAGCACACACCCCAAATCTTTCAGCTGCCAAAAGGCCAAAACCCAAGCCTTCCACATGTGGAAGCCCCTACCCTGAACCCTGAAAAACCCCTCCAGAAGTCAAACTCGAATCCTATTTAGCCTGAGAGAGCCTATGGAAACCCTGGAAACCCTGGTTTCTGCAGAAATTCATTCCCGAACCCGTGTAAAGACCGGCTCATGCAAGATGCCAGATCCCCGTATGTACCGCAGAATACTGGGATCTGAGATGCCCAAATAACCCTCTGTATGCGCCCGTCTACTCTCCTATGAACACGTTTTTGAGAAACCACGCTGCTAGTCAAGCCTAAGCCCAGAGCCTAAAACCCGAACAACCAAACCCCAAACCCGCAGGCCGCAGGCCCTGAACATGCACCCCTACCCCCTGACCGTTAAACCCCAAGCCCTAGCCCCATTCAGCACAAAACCTGAGGGAGGTCTTGGGCCGAAGAACAACGTGAAGGGCGAGATGACATCCAACGAGCAGAGCTGGCAACCAAGGACTTCAGGTGGGGTCGAAGGGCCCACGGTTTAGGGTTCAGAGTTTCGGGCTTAGGGTTCAAGGCTTAGACTTCAGGGTTTGGGGTTATTGCTTATTTCTCGAGGCTTGAAATGTTTCTCCAGGCTTTCACGGCTGAAGATTTACAGCGGGGGCTTGTAGAGTAGAAGGTTGGGGCTTCATATCCAGCATGGTGCTGGGAATAATTGGGAATGTCAAGTGGGCTCTTGGAGTTATATGTGCAATTCACAAGCCCTCGCTAGCTCCCCCAGTCGAGGCTACAGTGAAGCGGAATTCCTAAGTCAGTTCCGAGTAAAGGGTGTTTCCTTGTTCAAAGATAGCCGTGCGACCCTCCAAGGCCTCCTTTACTATTTAACAGTCCAGGTTCAGGAACGTGACGATAAATGTTCAGGACAGCAGAACTTACCGCAAATGGCATAGCAGCTCTAATAATGAATGATCAACTAGGTTCTAGATTATTCTTTTCACCTCCACGCGCAAGCTATGCAGATTGTCAGCACACTATTTTGTGGGAGCAGTGGCTTCCGTGATCCCAAACCCCCAAGTGCAAACTGAATGCAACCCTGCATGCTTCAGGGTTCCAAGGGTTGTCCGGCCGGGTGCCGCAGACTTTGGGGCGGAAAGGCCGGGAGAATTTGAAGTAAGGGTCGCAGTGACCACCAGGGTGTTCTCTGTTGTCCCGTGAAACTGACTTGGGGTCGCCGTGGAACAGTGGGATAACAGCGTCGTGTATGTCGAAGGGCTTCCATCTCAAGCAGCTTTGATGGAGACCACAATGGTTCACCACATCAGAAGTACCATGATCAATCTTAACGGTCTTAACGGCTTTCTGGAAAGGGCCTTCCTCTCATACAACCCAAACCAGGAAGGTCCTTTGTTGCAGCGTTCCCGAAAACGGACCCATTGCTTCACATGCCGGGAATACCACCATCAGCAACACCGATGTCAAGATGAGACATCGGGTTACAGGAGGTTGGTGCCTGGCATTCTTTCAGAGCTTGGACTGGGGTCGCAGAGTTTCCGGTATCAGGGGTTCGTGGCCGAAGCTTGCAGTTTGGGACTTTGGACTTGGGAGCCAGTCTGGATTTGTTGCAAGACTGTTGTGGTTGATTTTGTAGGCACTCACGCATCATGCGTCCAGTGAAATAAGAAGATCTATGGAGTCAAGTTATCCTGAGCATCAGGACACATGTTCTAGTACAGTGGTAATGTCTGAAGTGATAAGTTGTTGCTCCCAATGTTTTCCATCCCATGTAACTATATTACGAAGCACTACCATCATCATCTGTAGTCCTCACCATAAGCATTATGCGGTTCTAGGATGATTTGGGTTTCCCATATATACTTTCCATCATCTGTATGTGCTAGGGACACCTGGGAAAGCTTGGCTAGAACCCCAACAGGACTTGTTTGGGTAGGGTAAGGGTTTGGGGCAGCATTCCAGACGTGCTTGTAAAGGAATCCTACCTATAGGGATGTACAGGGATGTATAGCAATTGAGCAGAATCGGTCAAGGCACACGCCAGGGGCTCCAATCTGCTTTTGCAGGACTTCAGCTGCGTAACAGTCACACTTCTTGTAAACCCCAAAGCCCTGAATAACCCTGGGAAAGGACCACCATAGTTATGAAATCCCAGGCCTCTAAAGATAGTCCGGCCTTGAAACTTGCAAACCCAATGAACAGCCAGCTGCAAGAACTCCCACTTCTGTCGGAGCGTGGTGCACACTGATATCCACCAAATTTCATGGACCCCGCGAAGGCCTCCACGTACAAGGACGTTGTATTTGCGGGGCACTTTTGGGGGTTCCATGGAAGTTTGGGGAGGATACCTCAAACCCGGACAAACCTTGCTGCAAGAGCTCATTGTGCTGTGTTGCCCATGCCTCCGTCACATGAACGCCAGAGCTGACACGCATATGTCCGCCCAAAAGAAAGATCTGGATCACTACAAAGGCAGTACAACTTGGCCTCCGTCCAGAAACCTCAACCTTAAGCTTCAGACATTCACACCTTCAAAGCGCGGCGGGTGAACCCTATCAACGAGGTCACGTTCATCGGCCCTACTCAGATCTGCCGGCAAAGCTCATCGTCACTCAGGATTTACTAAAATCGGCTTGCCTGTCGCCTTAGACCTTATGACGGTCGTGAGAACAGGTTGGTGTGAGAAACCTAGGCATCGCAGCAAGAATTTCGATCCTGCTGAAGTACAAACAGGTGGGCAGGCTGAGGGGGGTCAAGGGCTGGCTTGAATCAGCCAAAGAGACTTCAGCTTGATGGAAATGTGCAGAACGGGCTTTGTTTGAGGGCCTTATAGATTCAGGGTTACGGGGTCAAAGTCTACCGC